TACTGTAAACGCGCTCTCGGTGGCGTCATACCGATCCGAAAATAAAGCCCGCGGGATCTATCGGGTAGGGTGTAGGAATTCCGGCACGTGGGATGTGTCACGAATATCAGCGGGGACTCGCTTGTGTTGTTCTCATCGCTTGCGCACAGGTGCGTGCACGAGCGTTCAGGATGCGTGGGCGAATCAGACGAACCGTATCAGACGAATCGTATTTGGTTCATTTCGTTTCGTATTAGGACTAGCGAACTAACGTAGATTTTGTCCGGTATATAAAGGAATTAAAGAATTATTATTAAGAAGGAACCTTATTAAGGAACTTTATTGAAATAATAAAGAATTATTATTAGGAAGGAATTATTAAAAAGGGCAATGAGAAATGTAACTTTACAAAGGATCTCTTAAATTATTTAAAGGTATTGTAAAGCTTTCTTGCGTATGCGCGGATTCAGACATTGTTAACTCTTGCAGTTAATTATGTAAATTTTAATATCTTGTGCACATATTACTGTGTATCATTATTCACTATTATTCTTTACTATATTATTCTGAAGATAAAGTAAATGTCTTTATGTTACTAAGCAATATTTAGGATGTATATTGTAAAAAAAAATGTTATTCTTGCTAGACGGAAATAAGTTAAATAATTTATAAGTGATTTTATGAATCAGTGAGATAATGTTGTAAAAATACGTTCTGCGGTAACGCGTATATAAATGTAAGATTAATTTTAAATTTACTAGTTTAGAAACTATATTTATGCAAACAGCTTAAATTCTATTCTTAATAGTATTGAGATAACTAATACGAATCTTAGATTTGTCTCAGTACTTCTTGTTATTTATGTTATTTATAAACTCTACTCTCTAAATCTGAATCAGTGGATAATCACTCATTCAGTGCCAGATATGCCATTGTTAATTAATGAATGAAATGTGGTATCCCTAACTTATAGCAAACCTTGCTTCATTGTATAAATGTACCGCATTCAACATGTATAGTATTGTAAATTTGGAATTACAATGTGCTAAAACGTGCATGCAAATATCGATATTTTAACTGTATATATAATGCTCAAACTTCTTTTCTTTTATAGATGAATTTCACTTTACTTGCAGTGCCGAATGTGCTAATACGATATGCCGATAATTCATTACCAACTATGTTACTTCAGTAGATTATCCACTGACTCAGATTTAGAGAATAATCATTCAAGTGAATTTTGTTTTGCGTCAAAATGCTGAGAAATCAATAACTGACAAATGACGAATTTAGATAAACGAAATGGTTATTATTTCGAGACACCCTGTGTATACATTTGCTGCCAAATGCATGTCGATCAAGACGGTGATGTCGGCCAGCAACAGTGATCGAAGATGGACCTCAAGGATGGATCAATGCCCCGCGAGAAATTTGTTTACGATCGATCGTGGGCAGAGTCGACGAACATAAATGCATACATCTATCGCAAGTGTGTGCAGAATTAGACTGTCCTAGCTATGTCAGTTTTGTACACTCTTCATTGTCTCTTTTTTTTTTTTACACACATCAAAATCGGTGACAGCAGCTATCATAAAATTGGACGTCGTAGCAGACAAATCACTCTGGATAAAAATTTCGTGTTCTCTCGTAAGTCAAAAGTATTTAAACTTTTTTCAAATTTACATTGTGCAGCGTCGCGACGCAATTCTGGTAAACGGGTTCGCTCCAGTCGAAGTTTCGGATTAGCGTAATATTTCCAGATCCGCATAATACTCCTTAGGAATGCGTACTTTCCGCGATTCGCGAGTTGCGTTTCATATCTTACGTACGACGACGAAGAATATTTAACCGAGGAATGCACATCCCTCCAGGTGCGCGTACTGTGTGTCTCTTCGTCAAGTGAATCGCTCTCTCGCGAGTGAGGAATATATTTCAGCGACGGAGAAACGCAATGTCAGGCGTCATGAATAAAAAATTGGCTGGTATCCTTTTACGATATCGTGCATGCTCGACGCCGATTCGCGATGCCGCGACCGCATCAAAACTGGTTCACGCGTTGCTCGGTTACTCGTAACAGGCTCTTTATTTTTACTCAACGCGCCCTCGATATCGTAGAGAGTTCTCGCCTCGCGCTAAATTCGGATAAGGAAACACGCCGTGTACATTCTTTCGGAATCTGTGTGTGCTCGTTGATCGACACGCCGAACCAACTTCGTCCTCGTGTGATTGCGATTCGGATCACGAATCGGATATCCTTATCTTGGTTTGAGCACAGTGTAGAAATCGATGACTGACATTAATAGAGATAGAGTAGAAATTGCGCGATGTCTCTCTCTATATTTGCGCTGAGGTAAAGTTCATTGCGTGTCATTAACCGATTAGCCGCGGTCCGCCGTTAAGCGGCGCGCTTATATAACTTGAGAGGAATGAGTCAAGAGGATGTATAATTGCCAGAAATTGTCACCTTAGTCATCTCCAGAGATTATTTTTACCCGTATTGCATCGAGGCATACATTTCTGAGCAAAATGCAGATCTTTAGCAGAAAAAGAACATATATCTTTATGCTATTTCTAATTACGATGCAATATAAAATGTGTGTGCATATTTCATTAGATACGAATGGATTAATTTGAAATATATACTTTTAATAATATAAAGTTATTTTTAATAATAATAAACACAAAATATACAGTTTGTAAATATTATGTCCTGAAAAAATAACAAGAGCTGGAGGAAATTTTTTTTATGTCATAAGCAACGATGAGTTTATTATAGGACCGGCGAATGACAGAAAAATTTTTATACAGCATAAAAAATAATAATTTATTTTAGCATTCAGCGGAAATATAAACGTACAGTACTGGAAATTACATCTATCTGAACGAACATAAACGAGAGTTGCGTAGTTCAACAAATTGCATTACCACGTATAGCCAAGCATGGAAATTGGCATATGTGATTTTTTTTTTATCATTTATGTATAAATCTCTCCTAAATATATTATAAAATACTATTAATGTCCTTTCTCTACCTAAAAACGCATCCAGGGAAAAGAACGATGAAATTGTTCTAGATTACTCCTTTACATGATCGTTTTTATTCTTTCTATACGTTACTCCTAACAAGTACCCTAATTCTTTTCATTAGATATCGAATGTACAGGATATTCTCTGCACGTGACGTCTTAGTTGTCACGATTTGCTAATAAAGAAATTTATTGTAAATAATTGGATTCACTTATTAGAAATAATTTAAAGCGCAGCCTCCTCTTTAGGATGCTATCAATGTAAACTAAAATAATCAACTTCGTTATATTAAAATAAATTGTTATCGTATATCACTGTCTGATGTACTTATACGAAAGCGTCGTTAAAAAGGAACCGCCGTTCTAAAATGTATTGCTTTCTCCGAGACAGAAAACGCATTTTTTTTTTTTTTTTTTTTTTTTCAGAATGTACGTACACGGAATCTGCACTTGAATCAATTTATCTATACTTCAATTAACGTTATAAAATGTAATACGTATATTCAACGGAGAGATTGCTCACATAGCATTTTACAGAATCATCACTGTAATAATATGTACTTACATTTATTACATGTAGTTATATATGATAATAATACGTATAGCAAGTATATGTGTATGCATATAATAATACTAAATAGTACAATAAGCATTTCTAGTATGGCTAACTGAGATACGTCACTTTTAATTCGCACAATGCAGATGCACTCGCCCGTATAATAAATCATAATACTTACAATAAGTCAACAGAACTACAATTATATAATTATAGGCGCGTTACGTCTCGTTTATTGCGAAATTGCACGTTTTTTTTTTCTTTAAAGGAAATCGCTATATCACGGTTACAGCATCATCGTAAAAAGTACTTCCGTGACGCTCTGAATCCTTATTGTGTATAGCTGGTCAGATAAGTACTTGATAAAAGAAGATACTACATAATCGTAATAAGTAGTTTATATTACACTATTGTTATATCAAATTTATGAAAAAAACAAATTCGAAAGATGATCGGTTCTATTACAATAAGATAAAATAGTTATTGCAGGGAACATTTAATATTGCGCGTTTGTATATTATAAATTAGTCATATTATTTCTTAGTCTATGATGACTATTTCATTTAAACAGTTTGAAAAGAAATATAATACAGCTTATATTAAATTGAACTGAATGTCAACGAAAGTTACTTTTTGCGGCGTTTTGTATTTGCAAGTTTATTAAATCTAGTCATGTTTAGACTTATGTTAATCCTGAAACCAGTCTTGAATCCTAGCCTGGACCAGTCTGTACTAAATAAGCCGAGACACACGCGCGCAATATAAATAGTGCAACAAGTGATTTCGCTGCTATTCTATCCACGTAAATTAGAGGAATGAGATATACGCGCGATTTTCTCGATACACCGTGTCGTCGAAAAACTTACAGGGAAGATCTCGACAATAACAGAGCTACAAGCAATCCTCTTAGAAATATGTATCTAAAATATTCACAGTGCTCAAAGCTAACGATACACGGAGCTCCCAAGGGAAGAATAGATCTACGCGAGATGAATTTTTAGCTTCTGTATAATCGTACACGTGCTCCTTCTACACGTAGTATTTTCTTCATTTTTAGTAACCTGAAGTAGTACGCTCACAATTTTATCTTGAATACATCATCTAACAATAAGACGAAGTTCATTTTTTAATTATTTATTTTAGTTATTTAGTTAAAACAATATTATAAATATGTTACGACACGCGACTATTTGAGTAATGTATACATTGTATACGTTCAAGACAGAATTTTAAGATTCTTTCATTCATTATTACTATGTAGCCATTATTTATTGTATTTGCTTTTGTTAAAGCATTGAATTAATTTTTTTACATAATCATAAAAATAATAAGGATCTTATACACATATAAAAATTTCCCAATAGAAATAATTCCGTATTAGGTTACAAAATAAAATTAAAAAAAAAAAAAAAAAAAAAGAAAAGAAAAGAAATCTGTGTAATGTCGAAGAAATATAAAGTATTTTACGAGTTACAGACCGAACAATTGCTTAGCGGAAAAGAAAGTATCTTTCCATCGCGTAAATATCTTTCCATAAATCGTCCAAATTCGTTCACGGCCGAGAATATCCAGACCACATTGCAGTTAAAGCACTCGAGCTAGAATAGCGGTCTGTTTGCCGAGCGATTCATTGTGATCCTCAAATCCTTTTGGAGCACACGGGAAATTTGGTCATTCAAATCCAATCGTTGCTTTTATCGGAATGTGCGTGACCGGCTTATTAGAACTGAATGTATGCGTGTAGCGTATTTCGCTTATTGAAACACTGTTTAGTTAAATAAATAGTTTTAATAGATACATCATTGCTGTTCTTTCTCTTTAAGGTTGAAATATAATAAATTCACGGTATAAATAAAAAATTAGAGTTTTATAGCGATATGTAGAGAGTAAAGAGAAGAGGTATGTTAATATTTTGCGTTAAAAAAATTGGACTTTATCTTCGAGATAAAATTTAAATCTAAATGTATGCAGAGCTTATGTACACGCGGTGCACATTAACAGGCAGAAATTACTTTTTAGCAGGTATTATGCAGCGTTGTAAAATCTATTCTTCGGTTGGTAGCGAAAATCAAAATGCTTACGCAAGGATTCACGCGGTACAATTTCTTTGAGACTCGGAGCAACGACGACTCGTAAAGGCTACGTGTGTTATCTATATAGTACAGTAAAATACGAGCTGTGGGATTTCTGGTTTTAAAACGAAGCGATTAATACCTGAATTCTGCACGTGACCTGTTACTGCATGTATCTGAAAAAGAAAAAACAAACAATTTATTTTTCAGATGTAATAATATGAATTTATTTTTTAATTTAAAACTTTATTTATTTATTTCAATAAAACTTTAATTTAAAGCTTAGTAAATTTAGGAAAGTATTATGAAAGTATTGTGTTTAATAAAATGTGTTCAAGAATTTCTAATTAGAAGGATTTACAAAATGTAACATGTGATCAAGAAGTACACAAAGATGCTTGTAAACGGTATAATTACTAACACTAGTTTACAGTAACAAATACATTGAAGTAAACAATGTGTCTCTTATATTTTGAATGATGAAACTCGCTGCCACAAGCTAAATTTTCCCAACACGTTAGACTTTTGAAATAATTGAGATTTAATACGCAGAAAATAAATTTTGTCATTATTTTTATAAAAAAAGTTCACATTATCTTAAAATTCGAATCAGAAATCACGAATGTATTGTTCATTTCCTCTATAAAATGTATTTTTTTAATTTTACTTTTTAGTTACATATGTATATGACAAAGGATTAGGAAAATTATTAAACCTCATTTGTCTTGAAAACCTGATGCGCTGGTGAAATTTTGTTTGTGTTATTTTATCCAGTATTAAGAGAACTATAAAAAACACTTTGTCTGATTTAGTAATTAAAAAAAAAAAAACACTTTTTTAAACTAGCTTTATTACGATTTATTAAGCAATACAACTTAAATTTCGCTACTGACCTGAGTCACGGCTTTTCGTGGTCGGAGGGTACCTTCTCCGACGTACAGCGGTTTCTCCGATTTTTCGATTTCACGGACAAGCTTCTGATCATTGAAATCCTGCGAGGGCGGTATTCCGGGGGCTCTCCTCTTTTTCAATGTATTTGTATCGGAATCCACAATGATCCTCGCGGATTCGTCTTTGCCAAAAGTTTCTGAGCGAATTACGGTGTAACCGCCCAGGAACTGTACCGACTTTTTCGCGGTCTTAGTGAACGGCGCACGTGTCTCCTTATCGTACATGTGCGAGCCGCTCTTTTCATACTCCACGATCTTCGATCCTATTTTTATTGTTTTACAAATTGGATTGTAGAAAGAACTTTCCGGGACCCTCGGGACAAACGTCGAAGGTTGAGTTTTGTTAGACGTTCCGGGAAGGTCGCAACCATTTGACTTAACACTCCTGCCTCCACCATTCATTTCCTTTTTCTTCGTTATTATTTCCGGCCGCTGCGAATTTCTCGCAGCAAGGGGCACCGCTTGGCTCTTCATGAACTTACGCCTAGCTACTTTCTCCCTATCGTTAATTTTAGAATGTTTCTCGACGGTCGTCGCGTCGCACCGAATCTCGTAATACTTAACGAAACTCCTAACTTTACCCGGGGTTATCGTTACAACGTCGCGAAACGATTGGTCGTTACTTACGTTAGCTACGGGTGTTACGGCCCTGTTATTGTCATTATTATTATAAGGGTTTACGGAAGTAGTTTTCTTAGCTATGGCACACTTACTCATCGTATCCTCTACTAATACTAATGCCGACCCCCTTCGATCATCGTCGGCCTGATCATTCGCGATTACTTCGTCAGTCTTTTCTTTACCGCGAGTATGAATCTTCCTCGAAGCTCTTTCGCGCTTCCTGCCGTTTTCCAGGCTATTCTTGCACGATGCATCTGCGATCGTCTTCAATTCTCTACTGTCGAAAATCTTGTTCATCGTCGCAGGTGCCCCGATGGGAATTCTCTTTTGGGATTCGTTCTCTCTATGTCGCTCGCGCTCAATATTAGTTTTCTTAAGTATCGTCTTGGGAGTACGAATATCTCGTGATTTTTTAAGCTCTCGATTGGCATCCTCGACCGTATTTTTTATGGGTTTGGACGTTTTCTCAATTTTGGTCTTTATATTGATCTTTTCTGATTTAACATCCGAAGAATTTTTCCTGATCGTTACGGAGTTGTCTTTTGCAACTTTATGTTTGATATCGCAGGATTTATTATGATTTTTAATCTCAATATTTTCATTTTTTATAATTTTCTCAATAATCGTTGGAGTGTCATTCTTGAGATTTTGAGGCTTTTCCTCGATGCTTATTTTCGTAATATTTTCTTCTTTTACCATTTTCTCAACGATTGGTGTATCGTTATCTACATCAGTAATTTTCGTGTTTAGAAGAACGCTGCAAGTCTCGTTTCGAGATTTTTCAAATGATTTAGATGTGTTCTCTTCTTCTTTGGAAATTCTACTATCGATCGGGCATGATATCTTTTCATCTACCTTTGCTGCTAATTTCTTATTTTCGGGACTCACTATTTTCAATTTTATATTATTAAAATTGCAGAGAAGTTCATTCAGCACGTCATTTTTTACGTCACTGACACTTTTATTCTCTGATTGCGTTGATTTTACATTTAAAATCTTGACGATCTTTTCTTCCATTTCGTTGGAGTTGTTTGTATCCATTTCTGCCGCATTACAGAAATCACGCGAACATTCGCTTTCCGTCGTAAAATCTGCATCTAATTTCCGGATTTTATTTGATGATTTATTAGTCGTGCTTAATTCTTTATCCATGCTTGAAGTTACAGAAATTGCCGCGTAACTCATTGAGATATCTGTTGAATCATCAGATAGCATAGTTTCCAGAAAAGAAGTTCGCTTAACTTTCACGGGAACACTCTTGGCGAAAATATCTTCCGATGGCAAAACTGTATCATGGCTATTCTTGGAATCTTCGGAAAAATTACTTTTTTCTTTATTCTCTTCAAGTAATCGAGTTTGTTCGATTTTGTCCAACTTGTTTATAAGATTATCAGTGGAAATGTTCTTGCTCGGTTCACCATTGTCATTACGTTCGTTTTGGGATGACTCATTGAACAAGAATTTTTCATTCTTGGCAACATATTTCTCTTTGATGTCATCGCTACTTTTTTTCAAAAACATTTTCTCTTCTCGGTGTGTTATTTTTGTCCCTTTTTCAATTCTGCTGGCTTTTTGTAAACTGTTACCTGTAACGTTCTCCACAACTCCTGACGAAATATTACTTTGACCCACCTGTTTTACATCGCTCGCAGTAGTTTTCCCCGTTATTATGTTTTCTTTCCCGGGTTTGAAAATCTCCTCGCTAGCCTGCACGTTTCGCGGTGTAAAATCGAAATCTTCCTCCCGAATTTTCTCGCAATTAACATCATTATTTCTATCGTTACAATACATTTGCGGAATCGCATTTAATTTCACGTCAACCTCGTTTACCTGCATTATAAAAGGATCGTCTTCTCCCGTCGCGGAATTTCTTTTGTCGACACTCGACGTGTATGATTTATCTCGTGCATTGTCGCACCAATCTTTTACATCTGCGAATTCCTCTCGGATTTCAGTCAGTTTCACGGAAGAAACGGCGCTTTGTTCGCCGGCTTGCTCATTGTTGAGAATGGATTCGTGGCTCTGCGAACTGTCACACGGCACAGTAATTTTTACATTAGAGTCACGTTTCGACAGGGAAGAACTTGGCGATTCGATCATGAATCGTACCTTCGCACCAACGCGACATTTCGACTCGTCATTATTATCGAAAGCATTATTATAATCAAACGATCTCTTATCATTTACTCCATCGTTTTTGTTCGTGCTATCTTCGAATCGGCACTCGTCGAACTTCCGAGCGAAGTCATCGTCAAAAGGATCTCTCCATTCGTCTAGACACTTTTCGAATGGAAGACTCGTTGTCGACACGCGAAAACAGACGTCACCGCTATCATCCAATATGTGTGCTTTCGTCGATTCTTTCTCGTGTAAATTTTGCGAGTTCTTAGGCCCTACAGAATCGTTTCTGTTCCATGTATCGGACACTACATTTTCGAAATCGTGAAAAGTGAAAAAGAGCGGTGGATACTTGTCGAATGCCTTCTGCTTAAATGACGCGACATTGCGAGAAGATGATTTCGATATGATCGGCGGAAATGGCGGTTTCGATACGATTGACTTTGGAATCGGATCGTCATTTGCGCTGTTGCTTGATGTCGAGTTGTTTCTTATGGATGTCGTATTATGGATGTCGTGACGCTTCACTTCGATCATCTTCGACGCAGTGACGCGATTCTCGCGATGATATTGCTCTGTGTCGGCTCTTGGACAGTTTGCCGAAGTGTCGCATTGCGGCTGGCGGGTTTCGACATATCCAGAATTGTTTCGTCGACATTTTTCCAGTAGAAGCGGCGGCGGCGGACGTTTTTGCTGAGATATCGCGATGTCGTTCGTGGTTTTCGTTCCACCGTTGCTCGCCACCGACGATTCGATCGGCGCAATCTTGATTTTACGTTTCGTTCGTCGCGGTGGCACAGGTGGTTCAGTCGAATTTCCGTTATCTGCCATAGAAAAAGATTTGGGATTTTAGAGAAAGATTCTTCAATTTCGACAGAAGATTTTGAAAAATGAGAGATTTCAACAGAACTTGAAAATGATACATTATTTATAGCATTGCTGTTACATTTGTTATTCTTACAATTGTACATAATACAAATGGTGAATATATGCTTAGCGAACGAACTGTTAAATCTAAAACTTAAACACGAGAAGGTAACCACGACGGCAGACTGTCCGAGACATACTAAAGGTGATTCCTTAGAAATGACACACAGATTTCCCCTTCCTGGGTCAATACCAATGCTTATATATAATTCCCAAGTTTTAAATTCATGCTAGATGTAATTTCATTAAAGTCAGGGACATGAAAACGTTATGTAATATTACTCGAAAAATTCAAATGTATTTTATTGCAATATAATGTGTAAAATTTGTTGTTCATTATATAAAAGATATGTGATATATTGTATATATATTGTATATATTGTATAAAAAGTATGTCTGAAAGCATATGTTATATAGGTACCTTACTTAAACTTTGACAATTTAAAGAGATAGATTTAATCAACAAATATTCTACTTTATTTTGTAAAATTATATTAGATTTGTTGAATAAGTAAAAGGTTTATTCTTATTTTTGCAGTCTTTTCTCAATATTTTTAATTTAAACGACCAAGAGTTACGAACTTTAGTAGCTCCGACAAGGGCTTCGCTAAGCGGATAACAACAATTCGATTACACTCGAAGCGAGGGCTACTGTATGTTCGGTACAACCATGTATGGCATAGTGGAGATAATAGTCTTTTCGCAAATAAAATTTTCTATGAGATTCCGTCATATGCAATCAATAATAATGGAAAATGTAATAACTCGTTGAACAAAATTATTTCTACGTCGACAAAAATTTATATATAAATACGCAAGTATTGTGTATACATAGATACGCGGATTATATAGATATGTCACTTACCTAAATAAAAACTTGGCGACTTGTCCTACTGATGTCGAAATCTTCTATAGATAGCAGCATGCTGGCAGATTTTAGTGCGTTATTGTCAACGAGATCAGTCATGTACAGGCTGTTGGTATTATTGTGATTGCCCATAGCGCTGGATGCGGCACTACTATATGCACTTGAAGTGTTCTGCACTGACGCTACATCCGTGGTTTTCTGGACGATCCACTTGTTCATCATGCTGGACGTTTCCGCTTCCGATGACACGTCGAATTTGATATCACTGCGAACGAGATAGAGAATAAAAGAGTCAAATCTACGAATATAGCGAAATTTTTTTTGTGTGTGGAATAAAAATGATTAATCCGCGAAATTAATCCGTTATATTAATTTATACAAGTATCAGTTATATTAATTTATTAAATCGAGAGAAACAAGCAACATAATATGCTGCAGTCTACGCATAATTTATCCGAACTATTCGTTAGATAAATTTTTGCAACACGGATTTACAGTTTTTATAAAGTAAATTAAATCAATTATATCGTCTGAAATACTCACTGCAAGTAATTGTTCTCTACAGAGCCCTGGTCTTGGTCGTTTCTCGATTCCAAGCTTTTTCGAATAGCAGCAGGCTGCGAAAGAACCAACTCAATCGTTTCGGACGAGCTCTGCAACATCTTCAGAGCATCTTCATAGCGAAGGTTCAGCAGATTCTGTCCGTTTATTGCTACAATCCGGTCACCTGTCGAGAAAAGTTTAATTAACGATATTTAATTTTGTACATCTAATTAAATTTGCATCCATTTGTGTTACTTTCTAATTCAAATCTATTTATTTATATATCTTTATATATATCATATTGTCTTTTTCCAATTTATCCATTCGCTATCATTGTAGTTAACTGCAATGATGCATTGTAGTTCATTTTAACTATAATCTCGACTGCGAGTCAGATAGATGCTTTTATCTTGAAGCAACATAAATATTTTACTTCCGAACCTTTGTTTACGTTTCCGGCCATATCGGCTGATCCGCCAACGGAAACTGCTTGAACATAAACGCCACCGTCATTACCCTCCATTACTTGTAAACCTATACTACCACCGTGGCCGCGTTCCAACTTGATCGTATGTAAAATTCGTTCTTCGGCGAATGACAGCTCTTCTAAACGAGCCATTAAAGATGCAGACATCGATTCGTCTTCAGGAATCCGGAAAGTTTCGTCGTCAGTTCGTATATCAGCATCTATAGAGGTAAAAAGTAATCGTTAATTTTATTATAAAACTTTTATCTCAACAATGATATTTATGATAAACGTAAATAATGCTATAATAAATGTAAATAAAATGTTTGTAAACAACAATGAGAATTAGCTAATCAAATATTTAATTTATTTAAATAAATTTATTATATAGAGAGTGCTTTTGAAAGTTTCAAGAATTCGTAAGAATATTTTTGTATCAAAATGACTCATGTTTTGGATATGTAGAATTTGCTATAAGCATTTAATCACAATGTTAGAAGTAATTTTTTAATTATGTAAAACACAATTAAAATTATTTTTATAATCATTAATTATTATAATTATTTGTATAAAAGAAATTCTTATGTGAAAAATATATTATTACTTACTTAACACGTATGCTTCCGGCATGGGTGATTCGGTAGATCGTGCTGATAGCGATTGAATAGACGATTCGGTATCGGACTTTACAGACAGTGATTCCGTATCGTCGGTAAGCGCGGTATCTTTCTGAACTAAACTGCTGTAAATCGCTCGCGTACCCATTTTCACACCCAATCGACGCGGCAAGCTAGGTGTACGAAGACCACCCGACTGCTTCGATGCACCATAATTCGGTAAGCTAGATGCTTTCATCTAGAATGATAACATTATCTTATTACTAGAGAAATAATAAATAAATATCTAGAAAATAATTAGGTTGAAAGTTTAATAGAGATAGTAGATTCGAATATTAATAAATAATAAGAGAATAGTAAACAATAATAAAATTTACAATAAAGATTAATGAGAGTACGGTATAGTAAAGTTGTGCGTAAAGTTGCATACATATTTTATATTTAAGTTAAGTAAGTCTCAGAATTAGTAGGTTCAGCTACAGTTCGAATTATTTTCAGCGAAATTTCTTTAGATTCCACTCTTAAATCGAAAAACGGACGCTATTTTAATATAAGTCCTAATCTTTTATATTGATTGGAACTTCGGATAAAGACCATCAAAAGGTCAAATGGATAGTAGTCCAAGAGCGTAACAGTACAAATTCTCTTTCAGAAATAAAATACAAAACTACATAGTCATATTTGATAAATAAAGAAATAAAATTATAAGCGCGCGCGCGAAAGTTAGAAATAAAATTATAATTTTATTTCTGAAAAATTTCACTTTCAATTTTATTTCTTGGCTTACTCAACACAACTGCGGTTTTTTATTTATTTTATTTCTGAAAGAATTTTTACTCTTACTCTTTTGATCCGTTGTGCTATTCATTTTGGAACGATGTTCATCTAAAGTTCCAATCAGTGTGAAAGATTAGGAATAGCATCGAACAACTTTATCTGGAAGCGTTAGGTTTACTAACATTTTAATTAATAGCTGACTTTACTGTACATTTTATTTCTAATATCGAGAGTCTTGTTGCATTTTCTTTTATTTCAATGTTATGCCCGTATTCGGAACACGCTTTTATCGATAAATGCTTGCTTTTATTTCTAACATTGTATAGTATATGTGACGTAAATATATGCTAAATTCACGCTAACATTGTTATAAGCATGTTTTGAATATGGATCTTAAAATATAATTGATATATACTACCTTTTGCAATGTTTTTTTAATGTCTGATACATTCCAAACTTCGTCCGGAACAGGGAACTCCTTCTTTCCTGATAGTCGAACTTTATTAATGGCGGCGTATAGTTCTTCAGGATTGTTAGGTTTATCTAGCTGGTTAATGTTGTTTGATAAAACTTTTGGGAGCGAATATGCACATTCAGTTTCAGCCTCGCTGTCTAAACCGGGGCAGCCGTAGAGTTTGTCATGCTCCGATTTTGTTTCTTTGGGTTCCAACAAGATCTTGTGCGGTGTCGTTAAACCTCTCTCCGATTCATCCTCTGTGTCTCGCGATTGACCTTCTGGTTCTAATCGCACGTTTACTTGTGCATAAAGAGCATCCTCTTCGGACGAATAAAAGGCGGGTTCGCGACCAACGTCCTTCGTTGCCGTCACTACAATTGGATCTTTTTGAGGATTTTCATTCTCCTTATTTTGATATTCCTCTAGTTGCATCGGATAATTTATTCTCTGCTGTACTTTAACCACGCTCGCGATTGTTATCTTAGTTTTACCATCGATGCTCTTGGGTTTTAATGGTGTAGGTTTTGCTTCTGTCAGAGGTACTCCAAATTCTAAAACATGATGTAGATTGATTTTTTCCTAGATATCTTTATATAAATGTTTCAAGAAAATAACATTTCACAAAAATTCTTTGGAATCTTACTCTAAAGAATGAAAATTAAGCCAGTCTTGAAAAAGAGTTTTCAAATTTCTCAATTTTCAATCTTTAAGAGTGAGAGAGATTCACTTTAAAAGTTTCAGAGAGTATATCAATTGTTGTACTTTGAAAACTTAAAAAAATTTGACAAAAAATATAAAATACGATAAATCAAGAAATTATAGCAATAATTAAAATATTAGATTAAAAAAAAGTTCTTAATGATCTCTGCCAGATTATCCGTACAATCATCGCTGAAAATTTCGATTGAATTGTTTGCGATATTTACATTTTAAAATTTCCATAAAAAAGGAAGATCAACATCCTTGCGATAAAGTGTTACAATTTAGCTAGTTTCCTATCTTGAAACTTTTGTGTGGAAAGTTCTAAACATTTCAACAAGCTTAATCGGTAGGAAAGAGCGCGTGTACCTTTAGCGAGGCCTTGAAGTGACGTGAGCTCCGAACGAAGTCTGAGGAAGAACTGATGATGCAGGGACGTGAGCTTGAAGGCGAAGTAACTTCTAGAAAATAGAAAGATTCTTTATGTAAATGTCGTTATCGTAAGCGATAGAGGAAGCACTTGATATACATTTTCGAAGTATTCGTCGACGTTTCATTTAAAACCGTTCGTTCGATCGATCTTCGAAATTAGAGCAAACTTACTTTCGATGATCCATCCGTAGTTTGAACTTGCAACGTTTCCCATTCAGCTTGCTGTATACCACCAGACAGCTCTTGCTGTAACTCAACGTCTGTACGTCTCGCCACTGAAAATGGGCCAATTCCGTTCTTTCCCTTGGCTCGCCCCCTCGCTCCAGCAACTTCAACCCTTGATAATGTACCGCTAGCCACACATTGCTCTCTGTCTTTTTCTTGCTGCTTTTACTATTTTTGCTGTTGTTACTGTTAACACTATTAACACTATTAATATTGTTATTGTTATTTTTATTGTTGTTATTGCGCGTTTCGTCGCGGCACAAATCCGCGTTCTTCACGTGCTCGTCCGAATAGGGTATCATCGGCATATTCTCGCGGGAGTTTAACCGCGAGATCCCGATTCTGCCATAGGTGGAACAGATATCCCGGGCAGGTTTCTCCTTGCGATGAGCCTTTCCTGCACCGTCAGGCGACGACACGGCATCGCGGTTGTCGGACACGGTGCTCTTCCCCTTTCTCTGCCGCATCATCAGTTTCTCTAACTCCTTCGAGTCTACTGTGGCAATGTAGTAGTGCGAACCGTAATCCGGCAGGGACTGCGCGTGAGTTATGAACATCTCCTCGGCTTTGTTCGAGTCCAAGCCACGGCGGTCGCGGTGAGCGCGATGTAGCTGCGCCCGAAGTGTATCGGCGTCGACGCAGGGTTGCGATTGATGCCGGTCCGCGTTCAATATCAAAGACTCCGGCACGTAGTGCTCGAGAAGGAAGTAATCTCCGCAGCCGTGCTCCTGTGGGATATACAATAGCTCTGATGTGAAACAGAGAAATTATGTACGGATTATGTCAGAATTGTTTTGTTAACTCTCTCATAATAGATCAAAATAATATCTCTGACAATCGACTATTTACTCAATTTATGACTTAGGAATTATGCAATTATTGGTATCTCTGGTGTTGCTAGTTGAATATAGTTTAATAATTGAATTTACATACAGTATGGAAATTATATATATATAATAGTATTTTTATATGTATTGTATGTTATAGTATAATATAGATATATATATATGTATAATACATTTTAATATTTAATTCAGGAAGTATTGATAGGTGGAATAGAAGATGTTAATTCTGAAATATTTGTTTCTTTTAACCGATCTTACTTAAATTCGATTTTTAAAATTGAATTTGACCATCATTGGATCGGCATATATGAAAATTCTTAGACTTTATAATTGTGAAGTAAAAGTTAATCGCATTTCATGTAAGAAACGTAGATTCTTTGCAGAATCACAAATATTTTCTATATATGTCACAATTTTTCATTTTACCTAATTATTTGGAACTTAATAGTCATTTTGTAACATTTGATTGCTTCGCGATGGTAATTTTATTAGCGTGCATTACATAAATCACTGGTTAACTCACATTGGCGTTGTAATTCCCGAATTCAGCTTGAAGTGCGAGGCCCGTCAAATTGATTAATTCGGAATATGGGCATACCAGCTGCTGTTCCAGTATACATCGCCTTATTTGCAGATATAGCAAATGCTTCGATATCCAACTCCTGAAAATGATACGAACGTTAGCCGAGTCGTAATGTATATTGCCATTTTTTAGTTCGAACTAACCGGGTACCACGAAGAGATGGTAGAAAGAATCGGAGTCGCAGGTACAGCATGAAACTAGTCGGTAGACCCAGCAAACCTTTGCTTTTACCGCTGCTTAACCATCCCGGTGGTGCGACTTTATTTAATTTCGTGTCGGGTGGTAACATCGCAAAATCCCCGGCCAGTAGTACGGCCAATCCTAGAGTGAAGTTTTCATCGAGGCTTTCCGCTTGAACAATAGCCTGGAAGGATTTACGTATACATTGTATAAAATGTATATATCACAGACCGTGTCTGAGATTAGTTAAATTTATATATGTTATTATAGTTTAACTCACAGTAGTTTTATATTGAGAATCTAAAAGGGCGGTTACGTAAATGTAATATAATTATTTGTTATACGAATTTCTAGCACATATATTGATAGCACAAATTTGATATATATGTCTATATTTGCTACTTCTACTTATGCAATGTATGTAAGAAACGCGAGAGGGAAAGCTAAAATAGTGTTCGTAAATTACGATTCAGCGCGAAATTATTATGCGAGACAAGCAATTAAATGCAGAGAGCAGGGTGTGCATTTGATTGTTCTAAAAGATTATTATAGTGCGACATGATACGCATTTCGGCCGCAGAGGTAATTTTCTATTGTCGCGAGTCTGCGGGAGTAATCCAATTTGGAAGTTCTCAGCGAGCTCTTGGACGTTCTAAATCGACCATTTATTAAAAATTGCACGACAAAATACTCCGGTCACGTTCAAAAGCTCTGAATTGAGTGGCAGATACAGAGTTGCGAGCTTGAAACTGTCTCTTTTTAGATTAGTGAAATTAAATGCCATTATGAATATATCAGAGTCTCTATAAAATGTGACTGAAATTGGAAATTCCAATATAAAACTGAATGTTACATATACATGAAACAGTTAAACAAGGTCGGTATATTTATACTTATTATATTCAATGATACCATTTTATAATTTAAATGAAAATTTTCTCATTTTATCTTAATTTTTGATTGAGATTCTAAATTGCTGTTAAACTTTTTGAATTGCTTTCAGATACAATATAGAAAAATTTTTAATTTTTTAATAATTTTGTCATTTTATGTTAAAAAATACATGTAATATATCCTAAAATTCTTTTGCTTCAATATTTGCATTTTGTGCTTTAATATTTTCGTAAAAAAAGAGAACATTGCATAAGGTATAACAATTTTAAAAATATTAATTATTAATATAACGGAATGATGTAAAATTATTTTCAGTTGTTTATCGCAATGGTTTTAGTTTACATAATTTTATTTTAACTCTAATATTCCTATAATAGTTCGAAATAATAATGCTGATCGATCGATTTATTCATTGGCAGTTTTATTGGTAGTATTACAAGAAAAGTGTCTCTGTAATGTTAGTTTTGAACAAATGTTGAAGCACAGATTTTTATGGAAGAAGGAATTGCACAATACGTTCGTCGTCGAGATCACATAACTCGTGGTTTGTGGATCTGTCGTATATAATGATTAGGCTTGGCGGCTCGCCAGAACTTCTCGCGAGTTCGCGTCGGAATTTGTGGTCTCGTAAACAACCGGCCACGTCTTGGCTTTCGCGGCCTAAGTGTGGCTTTGAGAGGCCATCGTCGCGCGAACATTACGATCGAACGAGTTCCGCTCGAGAATGGGGGGATAAAGTATATTTTTTAAAGGGTTTTTACTGGGAAACATACCAGGAGAATACATTCTTCCGCGTATCCAGCAAATGAAAAATAATTCTTTTACGAAGCTCTCGCGAGATATGATATTTATTTCACTTATATGCAATTTATTAGTGTTCTGAGAAGTAACTCCACAAAAAAAATTTTACAAAAAGTTACATGCGATAAATACATGGGATAATACGAAGAATGAAATTTAGAATGAATACGATTGAAAAATTGATTTCTGAATTATTTCATTTAATTTGATTAATTTATATTGGCGCTTATTACACTGTTTAAACAAATGATGTTTATTATTTCTTCATTATCTTTTGGATTAACGTATTACATGTACAAATTTGACAACGCGAAGGAAATTAATCACTAGATTGATTTACAGATAAGTGAATGCCATTTGCGCGCGAATGACTGTCAATGAAGAATACCTAATGGTTATAAATTAAGATCAATGCGTTTTTAATATTTTACATTATGAAACTTTAAATTTTGGAGAATGTCGCTAGTTTAAATAATTTTCTCATTAATAATCTTTGAAAAATGTTGAATAAAAACTGCAAACTAAAATATCGTATTTTCATTTTTTGATTAAAACATGCGTTATTTCATTACTGTTGATAGAAATTTAACAAAGTTAGTTACGCTTTGACTTTTCAGTGAACTTACCTGAAATAAATCCCCGGCAGTGACCTTCTGAGGATCACAGGTTACTTCCACGCGTTGTCCTGTTAGCATTATTACAACTATCCGGCCAGAGTTACCCGCCTACACAAATAAACGAGTTATTAGTTTACCATCATTCTCTCTCTCTCTCTCTCTCTCTCTCTCTCTCTCTCTCTAACTTCATGTTGATACAAATATTTATTTAGATCCATTTCTCTTGCATTAAAGAAAATGCTATATTTATTCGTACAAAATATAGGATTATTTATTTTACGAATTGCATAGAAGATACATCTCTGTTTATTATCACTTTGATACTAATATTTATGAAATATGCAAATATTAATATTAAAATACGAAAATGATAAATTATAAATATATTTTATACAAAAATATAGAAGCTCGAAATATATGAAACATTTTAATTAAATAAAATCAATACTAATTTGGAATAAAAATAAATAAATAAATTTATATTAATTGTTAGTTTTTTTTATTCTCATGATAGACAAAATTTCTGAAGTTATACTAAAATAGTCTATATTGCATAATGACACGTATATGGTAAGATTGAGGGGGGATACCAAGATCCGGTATGGTCTAGTGGCTAGGATACCTGGCTTTCACCCAGGAGGCTCGGGTTCGATTCCCGGTACCGGAATATTTTTTTTACTCTGTTTTACCTTTGTATAGCTACAAGTGTTTTCTTATGAGCATCCCTAAATGTAATCCGGTATGGTCTAGTGGCTAGGATACCTGGCTTTCACCCAGGAGGCTCGGGTTCGATTCCCGGTACCGGAATTTTTTTTTTATTCTGTTTTACCTTTGTATAGCTACAAGTGTTTTCTTATGAGCATCCCTAAATGTAATCCGGTATGGTCTAGTGGCTAGGATACCTGGCTTTCACCCAGGAGGCTCGGGTTCGATTCCCGGTACCGGAATTTTTTTTTTTTTCAAATTTAGTAAAACAAGATAATTTAAATTATATCGCAAGAATGTGCAAATAAAATTTATAGAATTAAATAATCTAGTTTTTATTAATATAATTTTTTAATATTTTATCTGTGAAAGATGATTAAGGTATTAAATTAAAATAGATATGTTTTATTTTATATATATTTTGAAAATTAAACATATATTTTTAAATAAAATATTTTCTTTTCTTATGTTTTATTTCATGTTGGATAATTGCTTAGTAATATTATTGTATGGATCCATTAGTTACTTTTGTTTTATTTTGTAAAATAAATTTATATTTTGCGATATATAACAATATATTATATATGTCTTATTTTAAAAGTAATATAAAGTGCAATATTACTGATAGTAACTTGATGTACGAACTTGAGCCTGCATGACTTTAAATCCGGTATGGTCTAGTGGCTAGGATACCTGGCTTTCACCCAGGAGGCTCGGGTTCGATTCCCGGTACCGGAATTTATTTTTTTAATTTTGTTTATTTTTTATTTATTTTTTT